CGACAAGTAGCAGCTGAGAAGCTGTCGCGAAATTTGTTGATATCAATAAATCTTGCTGTTTATGCCTGCTTTCAATTTGTACGGGGGACAAAATGCTTCAAAGTAAAAGGAACCGACGAAGTAAACAAACAGATATGATCTCACAGCATTTAATGTTGACGACATTAAAGTCCTGGTCCCAAAGGCATCCGACATAGCATGGATGACAGCTTCCTTGTTTGTCACTTATAGTCATTTAGAACTCTGCAAATATTCCCATTTTACGATGGATAAGTCATCCTGGCAAACACTTGTTTTCAGCTATTTGTCATCAGGCCAATACAGTTGCAGGGATTAAAACGGTCAGTCACATGCAGTGTTTAAATAGTCACGGCAACAGCAACGAATGGTTGCACGACGCTAATAAACGGTAACAAACTATTGCACGACCCTACTAATGAATACAAACGATGGGGACCGGTGACCACGGGAGTGGGAGAGTTTAAAGGACGATAACGTGTTCTTAGGCTCACCCTCATTGTTCAAATGAGCTGGTTTGTTTCCCCAGCACTGAATTAGACCATATTACATGCCAAACTAATAAAAACGCGAACCTCTTGCGTTTGTTAGGATTACCTATCGTGGCCGGGTTAGTAAGGCCGCACGACAGTCCCTTGGCAATGCCAATGTCCGGCCAAATTAAACATGTCCTGGAAATTAAACGTGTCCGATTATGTGAATCCAGCATGCAATTACTTATGTAGGCGGTAAGACGGACTAACCTAACCTTGGCATTCATGCGTGCATTTTCGAGGCTTACTTAGCTTCGGTAGGTTTCAATGATTAAACTTGTCGTCCTTAGGATGCTGGGTAAGCACGCGGCAAGGATGACTTACATGACTCTCTAAACAGGACATAAGGGCAGGAACTGACAATACAGATTTGGACTTTCCCTGCATTTTTTAATGTCACATTTTTCAATTTCTTTAAAATCCCGTCGTTTATAAGCAAATCGGGAGTTCAAAGGTTTACGCCCATAGTTCTCTCAAATAAACTGAATTGAAAAACCCACAATACAGCGGCCTTGTTCCAAACTTCGGGGAAATTAGGTTTAGGCCTAAGGCTACAGTTTAGCTTCATGCTAGGTTTGTGAAACGGGAATATTCGCTTTTCCGGAATTTTGTCGCAAGGACAACCATTTTAAGCGGTCGTTGCGTTCCTATTCTCGCGTCTTGTTTAGGCGGCTATACGAGACATCCTTACCAGGTAAACAATCCCTCCTGCATGGCAGATGAAGTGGC